AAAGCAGCTTAGGGCTCGGTAGCCAATTCCACAATACTTATATAAGTATTCATGTTCATTTAGCTTATCTGTTATGATAATGCTTGGTTACCTTCTTAATCATCCCTCAATTATATGGATCGATTTTTTGGCCAGGTCTGTATTTATGAGAGATGTAGTTGGCATCACTTTTCTTGCATACAATTCAATCACATAAGGTGGCACGTAGCTCGGAAATGAGGCTAAATTGCTGTTATATTATTTAAATAATGGATGGCATTAAAAAAAATGTAAGGATCAGGCATAATCTGAAAACGATTAAAAATTAAGAAGGAACCTTTCGCAGGGAATTTTTTGTGTGTAAATTAATTGATCAATTTTTTTTTACAATTTAGGAACATATTTTTTACAAAATTTTAAACGGTAAAGTTAAGAACATGGGCGTAATAATAAGGGATTATAACTTACTCAGCAAAAAGGCGCAGAAACCACTGGGCTCTATTCTTCGCCTTCGCTGGAGCATAATTAGTCTCCCAATTAAAGTTCTCAACTGGTAATAGGGATCTTGAACTGCTAATGGATTCGCCTTCCGGTGACCTCGCCTCCCTTTCCATAGTTGAGTTCTTTATTGAATCAGAGGCCTCGCTTGCTGCCGCCTGAGAATCAAAGGTGATGACGACACGTGCAAATCCCTTCGTCGATGGACTAGGGGGGAATGATAAAGAGGCGATGGAAGTTTGAGACCTTTCGGCTGCATCTGTTGAATCTAAGGGAGATACACGCTGAGAAACTAAACTTGGTAGCATAAGACGCACCAGCAAGTATGTAGATAAGTAATCGCAGGCAAGCTGTGTTTCGATGCCATCTGGTGTGAGGCGGCGTTCACCAGGAAACGTTTGAGATAAACTCCCAGCGGGATTCACGACTAGACGAGTAATGCATGGGTGGTCGGCCAATAGAGCACCGGCAAATCGACGGACTGAGCGTTGACTGGACATATCCAGATGACGGCATTCGACTCGCCCAGGACTTAGACCTGCCGAATCGATCAAACGAAGCCTCTCGTCCTGACAAGCGTCAAGATCATCAGCGGCCAAGATCAGATAGGCACCTGTGCTTGCAAGGACAGACAGCATGTTCTTGCATAGCTTGGCTGCACAAAGAGACCAATAAAGTGAGTCAGATTTTTGCTAGGCCATCTCGATTGATGCTTGGGGCCATAGTCTCAAATTTAATAAAAAGCGGTTCAAAAACTGATATGCTCTATTATTAAACATTAAAATAATTAGTAGAGGTTTGACCTCGTTTTCGCAACTTGATCGAAGCGATGTGGAGATCTTGTGGGACTTACTTAGTCCCGTACGCTCTGCCATGGTATTCATATTAATTTCCAGAATCTTGGTCCTATCTACGATCGAAAAAAATGAGTAGTCTCAAAATATAAACGTTCAAAAGTTAAATTGCATCTAAGGCCAGAAAATAAAAATATTTCGCGAGCTCAAGTCTGGGGGAAATACTTAGATTTATAGACGCCAATTAGTTGAATTAGTGATAATAAAAGAGCTCGAAAAATAAACTGATGACTAAGTAAAACTGGGTAATGGGAATATCATTAGGTTGTCGCGACATCCTATCTGAGTCTATGTGGGTTGGCACACAAGAGACTAGGGTATTAAAAGTCATAGCCTTGGTATTAGAGATAGAAACAGGATAGACGCGTTGGCGATGGGAGCTAGTGGACTGACAGTAGTTTTTATAAGAGACGTGGTCCATTTGGCAAAGGCCTGACCAATGAGACTTACTTGCAAATTGACTCGAATTAGTCACCCAGACGCAGGGTAGGGCTAATAACGCCTCAACTTGGCCCAGATGGGGTGGCAGGAGTC